GTCTTCACCATTGGAGGAGTTTGGGACCTCACTGTTGCTGAGAATGGCTGTGGTGCTTTTCAGGGGAGCTCTGGATCTTACTTTGTGCGTGGCTTCCTGACTCCAGTGTAGATCCCTCAGCCGGCTAGCACACATCCTTCATCCTTCCTAGATTCCACCCCTGACCTTTGGGCCTTTCCAGCACAGATCCGTGAAACAGGCCTGCATGAAAGCACTGCTATGGGCTCTAGGCCTCCAGCTGGACTCATGGGAGGCATTATTATGAACTCTAGGTATTCAGCTGGACTCACTCAGGACATTTCCATGGGATCCAGGCCTCAGCTAGATTCCTTGGTCTTAGTGTGAGGACAGATTTCCTGGACTCTTTTGTATATCATTCTTTGGGTGACTATTATAAATAATCTTGTAAAAATGTGTCCTGTATTACTGTTCCCCTTGCAATATTCCCCAAACCAACACAGAGACCTGTAATTACCAATGATTGTTTAGTGCCAAAATCTCTCCTGGTAGGGATCAAGTTTAGTAACATTTATAAACAATTGTATCATATTGTAGATTTAAGAGAAAGGTTTCAAGGGTGTTTGCTTGTTTTCACACAATTTGCTTGTTACTTAATATGACCTGTTGTGATTTAAAATTCTTTTCTTCCCCAGATTGAAGATATGTTTTCTTGACATCTTTGAAAGAAGCTAGAGGACTTTTTACCTAGTGTGGTTTTACCCTGTGACCTAGTAGAGAAGGGTAGGGTGCACATTCAGATTTCATCTGTTCAGACCCGTGTTCAAATCTCTATCACTTACCGGCTGTCCCCACAGTGATTTAACTATTTCCCCTGAGCCTCAGTTTTCTTGTCTGTGTATACTGGTGAACTGAATGAGCAAATATGTCTAAAACAATCTCCACCACTTCTGGTACATAAACCTTGTTGCATCTAAATTCATGCTTGGAATTTGTTGGCCCCAGTTTCACTACTTCATACTTCTTACTCTGTCTTAGCCTAATTCTAGGTTACTTTTTTTTTTTTGGGTACCAGGAATTGAACTCAGGACCTCGCACTTGTCAAGCAGGCACATATGCCATTGAGCTATATCCCCGGCCCTAGGTTACTTTTTAAATCTTCAAATTTTGCCTAAATATTTTTTGTCAAATGAAAAGCAACTATTAGATTCTGAATGCTATAGTAAATCATTTACTCCAAACCATTAGTAGATATACTTTTCAAAATATTTATTACTCTGTCATATGCTTATCCCTGCACTGAATGCACCCTTTTGCCAAGTTTAAGAATTGATAAATTATTTGGAAGTTGAGCTTCAAATGCATTTTTTTTTTTAACTTATAAAATTTTTTTTTTTTTTATTTTAAGGATAAAAGGAGGGAAACATTAACAGACATACAACATTTTACAACATATCACAAGCACAATACAGACAATACAGAGTTACAAACAAA